TTTCTAAAAATAATTTGTCGTATTATAAGAACATCATCTTTTTTATTTATTTTTTTATTTATAATTATACAATTCTAACAACAAATTTTGTTAGATAAAAATATTAGTTTTATTAACATAACCCATAGTTTTTACATTTTTTTCTTAATTTTTATGTGTTATATTTGCAAATCTTATATATCGGTTTTATTCTTTTCAATAGGTTAAGCTACTTTTGAACTATTCTAGTTAACAAGTTACCAAAAGCTAATTTAATGACTCGGGTGGGTTAGTATTAAATACATCATGTTGTTGTTGTGGGCTTATCATATTGGGATCCAAGAAATCTCCCACTCGACCCATATTTGCTTAATCAAGTCCAACACCTAAAACTATGAACAATATTTTTTAATTGTCTTAAATCAAGTCATAAGGGTCCAGTCCAGAAATATAATCAAGGCACCCACTTGTGCCTTGCGAGAACGGAGAAAAAATCTGGGCCTTTTTATTTGACTTAATAACCAATCTGGATTTTGGGAAATTTACATATATAGATTACATAGCAAATATTTACATATATGAAACATATAAACTTTAATTAAAAAGAGATTTGGATGTAATTTTTTTTTTCACAATTACGAGATTTCATTCTCTCACTTGGTTATATGTTTCTCTCTCCAGATCATCAATTTGGCCGAAAGAACCACAACTGAAACGGAAAATCGAAAAAAATAAATAAATACCAAATATGATACCTAGAATTAAGGGATTCACGATTTCAAAATTTCAAACGGTTAATCGACATCTTGAATTGGGAAAAAAAAAATCCAACCACCAAATATATGTTCAGATATATTGTATATATACATCAGATAAACATGATCTGACAGTTCTCTTTTATTAACCGTATAGTTATACATAAGATATACCACATATAAACAATTCTAGAATGGGTTTAAACATAATACAAAAATATGAATGACTGCAAAATCTAAATTGAATGTAGTTATACATAAGATAAACTATATATAAACAATTCTCAAACGGGATGACCTCACCACTCCCAACGTCGCCTCTTGATCTCCTCAATGATCCCTGGTGCATCTTCGATAGTGCACGGGTGAATCATAGCATTGCTCGAAGCCGATCGACGAATCAATTGATTTTAGTTCATATTTCGTATTTGAATTGAGATATGAACCATAACAATTAAAGAGAGGAGTTGGGTCGCCGAGAGACATCAGAACCGCTGATCTTCAATTTGCCTTCGTTACCGGCCAGACAAACCTCCAATCGCGACTCTTCCCCGGTCATGACCTTCTCAGCCACCGTCGTCAAAAGGGTAATGGGGTTGGGTGGTCTACGAATTGAGAAAAGAATCTAAAAAAAGAAAAAGGAAAAAAAAAAAGCAAAAAAAAATAGAGAAAATTGAGTGATAATCGGCCGCCGATTCCTTCTTGTCCTTGTGCGATTTGAGCCGCCGCGTGAAGAAATAGATAGAGAAGGAAAAAAGAGAGCAGGGATGCGCAAAGTTCAAGAGAGAGAGAGAGAGAGAGAGGGTAATCTTGATAGAGAAGGAAGAAAGAGAGTCGCCGCCCTACACATTAAGTTTATTTTAATTGTTAAAATAATGTAATCTTGATGATAAGGTTGTGGTCTCGTATTCTTGATATTAATTATCTAAGCAATTGTAAAATATCATTACATAACCCGTGTAAACGGGTAAATTTCTCTTGGATTTTTCTATTATACTGGATAATTTGTCTATTGTAAATTTCTCTTGGATTTTTCTATTATACTGGATAATCTGCCTATTTTCTATTGAATAACATAATTCTTTAAAATATCATTACATAACCCGTGTAATGCACGAGATAATAATAGTACATCATAAAATTAAAGTGCTGAAAGAAATTTGATTAGTATAGACATAGTTAAAATCTATTTCATTTTAGAATTCATGTTTAAATTTAAAGAACATGAAAATTTAAAATATTTAAGAATTATCAATAAATAACACTCACAAAAATACTTTTCTCTCTCAATTTTTTTTTACTTATACCTTGTTGCAATATATTATTTCAATTCAAAAATAAGTGATGGTAAAGGTGAAAAAAATATGGTAAAATATTATAAACGGACAAATAACTTAAAATGAATATAGTGTATACTATTTTAATGTTGTAAAATTTACTAATTTCAAATACGTCGAAAGTAATTATTTTTTTATTTAATAAAGTATATTACAAATTTTTGAATTTCATTTCTAGTCTATCATACGACAGTCGACACTTGTTTCTTTATCATTATAATTTATAACAATATACATGATGGGTTCCGCTTCTGACATTCTCTTCAATCTCAAAGATTTGCAGTACGGGACATTTATCTATGCTTTAAGTTGTTGGTGTTATATACTAAAAGCTTGGCTTGGATGATTTTACACTCTTATCCTTTATAAATGAGAATCATGTTTGATTAAACAAGTTCTATGTTCTGTTGTTTTGCACTTAGATAGAATGGGTCGTCATCAGATGAACATAAGATCATTCTATCAGTTACTTGCTAAAAAAGAAGTGTGGTTCACAGCCTAGATGGAAATGAACACCCCATCCGAACAGTTGTAGTGTCAACAGTACAGTTTGTTTTGACTGATTATTTCCACTAGTGCATTTATGTATTGAACAGGATCCCAGAGAAGAGAAGTTCGTTTTATACTGATCGTCGTAAACGAACTAGGTCTCGGCTGCGTTCTCTTAACCCGTAAAATATTAAACAGACATATATATACAATACATATTACTTTGATTCACTTGGGTGAAGTTCAATTTGCTAGATTAATATTCCTACCGTCTTAGGTAATATTGTTGTATGTATGATGTGCTGTTAGGATATTTACGGGCACCATGTGCGTTACTTTGATGGTGTCCCCGAAATGAGTTCATGAAGGATTGTTATGCTAAACCCTGCAGGTGTATTAAGTTCCGGCATAATAATAATAATGTGATGAACGAGCACTAGCTTCTGTGAAATAAATAATAAATTAATTAATTCTTGATTGTCAGTAATCGAATTAATTAATGAACATTATATCTTAAACATAGGGAGGTAAATCGGTAATTATAATTGGAGTCTCAAATGTAATTGGAGACTCATTCGAAATATTTTTGTTGGAATTTCTGTTGGAATCATTCCAACTATAGCTATATCATTGGAATATCCGTTGAAATATATTATATTAGGATTTTCCGTTAGAATATAATAATTTTGTTGTAGTGTAGTAACTGAATTGACGGAAATGATATCTATACTTATATTAAAGGGAGTCCTATTTACCAAATTTAGTAGCTAGAAAAGTCAACAACATTAATTGTTATTACTATTTCCGTATTATACAGTTTTATTTAATATTTGTTTTTCTGTTACGATTTTTAAAAACAGATATGGTCAAATTCTCTCATCATTAATTACTTTCCATTAATTACAATTTATTTATTTGTTATTTTCTTAGCAAAAACGGACCAACATTAATTGATTTCCTTAAAATGTGAAAGTTGTTGCTTTATTTTTGTACAGAAAATCGGGCTTCATTATAGAAATTTGTTCAATTACACAATGAATTTTCTATGATATAATTATTTTTTAGGGAAAATTACATTTTGCCTACCTAACTATCCGGAATTTTACACTTTACCTACAAAACTTTTTTTTTTTACACTTTGCCTACCTAACTTTGATTTTTTGTACACTTTGCCATTTTTTATCACCGCCGGTGACACGTGTCAATAAGGCACAAGAGCCACGTATTGGTTTATGAGGCCGGCGGTGACCGGAAATGGCAAAGTGTAGCAAAAAATCAAAGTTAGGTAGGCAAAGTGTAAAAAAAAAAAGTTTTGTAGGCAATGTGTAAATTTCCGGATTGTTAGATAGGCAAAATGTAATTTTCCTTATTTTTTATGGGAACTTTTTTTCTAACAGAAAATATGTCATTTCAATAAGATTTTCGATTTTTTAAAATTGATCGTTATCATGCTATGAAATTGAACATTCCAATATACCTTAACAAAATATACACGTGGTGTATACATCAGTTAATAGAAATATAGAATCCTCATATTTTTATATATACGTATGTAATTTTTCTATTACCAAATTTAATTGATAGTTGTTGTGTTATGGGTTTTTTCATAATTGTTACTTGGTTGTTGTGATATTTAGTTTGGTTGGTGTCGCAAAAATTTTAACCTATATATATAATAAGAATAATCATTACAATGCAAATTAGAAAATATTGATATTAGAAGAGATTGAGTCATGGCTTTTCTTAAATCAAAGTTGTTTAATTAGTATACAAAATTAAATTCTAAAAAAATATATGTGTATATTATCTACATTATTTATACACTATTTAATTTTAAATTTATTTACATATTTTAAATTGATTACTTATATAAATAATACCAACGTGCATTAAATATATTTCATTACATAAAATAAAAAGAACAAGAAGACGTGTAACTTGTATAACTTTATAAATAATAATGACATTATATGGCAACAGAGTTTAATAAATAACTATTATATAGTGAATAAGAATAAGTAAAATTGTTATTTTCTCTTATATCAAGGAATAAATATATATAATAAAATTAAATTTATATTAGTATAAATGTGTTAATGAGATAATATATTAATTATTTTACAAGTTAGCCCTAACATGCTCACGTTTAATGTTCTGACTAATAAAACAACGCTGATTAAAAGATGTGAAAAATAGATTACAATCCTATTTTTTTAGACTTAACGGTGATTAAAAAGGTGGAAAATAGATGATAATTCTTTTCAGACTTAGACGAGAATTAACGGTGATTAAAATAGGTGGAAAATAGAAAATAACCCTTCTCAGACTTAAACGGACAGAGCAGGTGAAAATAATTCATTTAATATATCTCTCCATCGCACAAAGTACGTACTAGTTATATAGAGACAAGGAATGTGCAATTGCAACTTTGTCAAAAAAGCGACTTTTGAACTATCCCTTCCGGCGACTGAGGACAGGTCGTTTCTTGAGAAAAATCGCATTACCTCTCGCCTTATAATTTGTCCACTCTAAACCAGAGTCTCATCTCAGTCAATAAAGACGTAAAATAGACGGGTTGGAGAAAGAGACGCCAAAACAGAGAACTCAGAGATAATGGCGGATCAAATATTAGCTTCTCTCAGGTCTCTTATGGCCTCTCACTCCCCCCCACTCGATGCTTTGGTCATTCCTTCTGAAGACTATCATCAGGTTTCTCTATCTCTCTCTCGTATAATATGTTGATTTAGTCATCTACGTTTGAATTGATCGACTCAGTTTCTGTCTTAGTTGGTATTTGAAATTTGATTGCTTGTATGATTGGGTGGATAATTTGGTGTGACAGAGCGAGTACGTCTCCGCGAGGGATAAAAGGCGCGAATTTGTATCTGGGTTCACCGGAAGTGCTGGTTCGTATCGTTTTACCAGTCTGCATCAATAATTCTTTTTCTATCTCTTCATATTGGGATGGCCTGATTATTATTTGTGAAGCAATTGAAAGTTATGATGTTCTTTTTGCCTATTTCAAGAGACCATTTATTTTAACTTTTCAGCACTATTATTTTTAATGGGCAACTACTCAAGGTTGACTGAACATTGATTTTGCAATGTGCGTGTGTGTGTGTGTTTTCCCTCCGTACAAACAGATAGCTTCAGAATGAGTGGTTCTTGTTTCCATAACTTCCATGCATCGATCTTGTGTCAAGCAGTCTCTTAAAAATTAGTCCAAACAGCTGTGGTAATATTGGTGTGGTGTCATTGTCAAAAAAAGAATCACTGACTAGACAGCCAAGTTTCCCCCAAACATCCACCAAAAAAGTTTAATTCGGTGTATTAAAACTATAAGAACAAGTTAAAGAGGCCTAGGTTCCCTAGATGCGAACAACGAGCTGTTCTTGATTCTCGCCTAGCAATTTCCTCAGCCTTAGCATTGAATTGGGGTCAATTATTAACCGCTTTTGGTGTCTATAATTTAGATTGGACTTCAAGGAACATATGTAATTTTTGTTGCGTTGGTCATGTGCTTTTGCTATTTTTTTTCAACCATAAGTTGGTAAAAGTTAAAACACCAGTTGGCTTGATGATTGTGTTTATGGATGCATTTACTCTTTTTCCTTCCACGTTTTCCCAAGGCAGTGCATTTCATATTAATTGCTCTTGTAGGTTTGGCTCTTGTACTGGCAAATGAGGCATTACTATGGACAGATGGGCGGTACTTTTTGCAGGCCGAAAAACAGCTTAGCAACCAGTGGAAGCTCATGCGTATGGGGGAAGACCCAGCAGTCGACATCTGGATGGCTGATGTGAGATATCCTTTTATGATATTGTAAAATTCTGTTTACTACTTGGTAGAGCTGTCTCAGTACCTTTTTCCATAATTTTATTAAGCAATGGGAGGTCATCAATCATTTTTATGTAGTTTATGCTAGCGTGACCTAGCTCTTCTCTGATACTCATTGTAATCGAGAGAATTAAATTAGATCCTCGTCAAAACTCATCATTGACTAGTGTATATATGCCAAAAGTTCATAACAAATAAGTATCAATTTTTTAATAGACTATTCAAGGCAGAATTTGTATGTCTATAAATATCAAAACTTGTTATGTTTAATTGCTGTCCCTTATAGTGGATATTTAACTTCCAGCTCTCCTTGGAGATTCCCAACATCTAAAAGTTTCAGCTGAAATTAATTGTTAAATTTAATCCATTAGATACTCTATTTCTTTTTGTTTCTTTGATTCTCTTTCCTAGTATTAAACTTTCTGTTCACTCACCATTTTTCTAGCTACTGATCTTTATGGCGTTTGTTATATTTGGGGTTTCTAATGTTGTGCTTATTTGTCTCAATAATTGTATCTTATGTTGTACTAGAATCTGCCAAATGATGCAGCCATTGGTATTGACCCTTGGTGTGTGTCTGTCGATACTGGTAAAAAATGGGAGCATGGTTTTGCCAAGAAACAGCAAAAACTGATTAAAACAACCACAAACTTAGTAGATGAAGTCTGGTCGAATAGACCACCACCTGCGGCAAATCCTGTTGTGCTTCATCCATTGGAATTTTCTGGTCGTTCCGTTGAAGATAAATTAAAGGCTTTAAGGGAAGAGCTTACACGGGCAAAAGCTCGTGCAATTATACTTAGTTCATTAGATGAGGCAAGCCTATGACACCTCATCATATTGGCGTTCAGAGTAACTGAAAATAGTTTCTCGATACTAATTTAGATCATTACATTTCAGGTTGCGTGGCTTTATAATATCCGTGGGGATGATGTTTCCTATAGCCCTGTCGTTCATGCATATGCTATAGTAACATTAGTTGCAGCTTTCTTGTATGTGGACAAGAGAAAGGTGTCTTCTGAGGTTAGTTTGTGTACATTGTATAATAAGATTTTGTTGTATCCATGGGTTCGTTATTTAAAGCTCATAGTGGTGCAGGTCAGCTCTTATATGGAGAAAAATGGTATAGAAGTGAGGGATTATGGTGATGTGAGCTCAGATGCAGCCTTGCTTGCATCCGACAAGCTTATCTTGACCAGTTTAGCTAAAGAAGGGGTTGATATTCCATTGAACACTACAACAGGGAATGATGACTCTGCAGAAGAGAAGAAAAATGACCTTGTATGGGTTGATCCCGGATCATGCTGTTTTGCTTTGTACACAAAACTGAATCCGGACAAAGTTTTTCTTCAATCGTCACCTTTGGCCCTCGCAAAAGCCCTAAAGGTATTATGTGTTTTCTGATTGCCTTTTACTTTGTAGTCAGGCGGAGTTAGATACATAACTTTAGGTGTGTCAGTGTGTGATGATATCAGTATCATATAGGGTGTGTCTGTGTGTATAGCTTTTGTGGCAACTGATGTGTGATCTCAGAACAGATCAGAAAGAACAGCAAAAACTAAGGCACTCCGCTGGGCAGACACTGACACCTTTTTCCTATACTTGAAATGTTGCTACAATTGTGTGATGCACATGTTTATCTTCGGAAGACATGGTGTATGGAAATGTAGTAGTAAGAAATAATTTGGAGTAATAAGAATGGTAACTGAGGTTTTCAAAGATGAAAATGCTGAAATGGTTGGAGAAGGAAGTTTGTCTGTGTTTATGAACTCGAAAGGTAGTTTAGGTCATTTTCAAATTTGTATACGTTTATATAGTTCCAGTTGTCTTTTCCCCACTCCCTCACCTTCCTCTCTCTTTCTCACCACAGTTGTCTAGGAGAGAGCACGAATTGATTTAGGCTTTTGGACATAATATCTCTGTTTTGGACTGTGCACTTTTCTTACTTAGTCGGTTTGCTTAGTTTACACCAAATTTGAGTTCAGAGAAATTCTCCCATTCCATGCATTAAAAAAAAAAATAAAAAAAAAATTAATCAACTGCTTTCTTGGGTTTTCAAATGTAACGTGAGTGAAAATGCTGTCATTTATTATTTTATTGCTTTACCTCGTAGAAGCTTTATTTCTCCGCTAATTATTTGTTGGATCATACTTCCAGAATCCCGTTGAGATTCAAGGACTGAAGAATGCACACATTCGGGATGGGGCTGCTGTTGTGCAATATCTTGTTTGGCTGGACAAGCAGGTACACGATTAGCTACTGCATTTTTATTACTGAAACTCATTCCCATACGTACTAGTAGTCGTTAGCTATTTCCTCTTACCTACATGAGTCTGAATTTGGATAAGAAACAAGGATAGAAATCCTGCCATAGAGGATTGCTAATTCTTCCACAAAATTGCATGTCAGAACCTCATACTCTGATGATGGGGCACTACCAAATATTGTTGTTTTCCTTTTCTGGTGTTGTGCTGCAACTTAGAGAACTGATTTACCTTTGTATGCCCTTAGATGCAGGAAATTTATGGGGCTTCTGGTTATTTCTTGGAAAGCGAGGTCCAAAACAAAGATAACCCGTAAGTTTTTGCAAGCAATAGAGTTGGGCAATGTTTTTATCTCATATTCTCATTTTAGTAAACTTCTGCGAGTTAGCTTTAAGGTTTACTGTAGTATTTTTTCGTCTTTGTCGCTGATATACTCAGAATTTGTGCCCAATATTTTTCTCCTTCTGAGTCTTCTATGACATCGATTAATCTCTGCTGAGCATGCACGAGGTCAAAAACACTGTGAAGATTGTTAGTTTATATTGCTGTTGGTTTCACGATTCTAATCTTCTCTTTTATTTGAAAATTCTTGAAGATATCAACTTCACCATGAAGTAGCTTGTTGTAGTTAGAAATGTTGGTGATATTATTTAAGTGTCACACCTTCCAGCAAAGAATATTGAGATAAATAAATTTGTAAGTTGTGTTATTAGGTGTTCTGATGTTTTAAAGTTTTTAGTCGGCCGTATAGTTCGTATCAAGCATCAGTGATTAGTAATTAAGTTTCATGCTGCCCATTGAAGTTTGAAATAGTGAATTGTCTCTATTTAAGATACCTTTAATTGGAGAACTAAATTTGGAGTTCTTATCAACCGGATTGCTTTCTACCTAATGACTGGATATGAATTACCAACCCCCATATCTTACTCCTAGTTCTCTTTTTCAAAATACAGGATAACCACAAAACTTACAGAAGTGTCCGTAAGTGATAAGCTAGAGAGTTTCCGTGCGTCTAAAGAGGTATTTACATATCCTCAGAAAGGTTCTAAAAGGTGTTACCTCCTGACTTCTTTTGGTTTATGCTCATAACTTCTTTTATTGGCTTCGTCCATGTTTTGATAACAGCATTTTAGGGGGTTGAGTTTTCCGACCATCTCGTCAGTAGGTCCAAATGGGGCAATCATACATTATGGTCCTGAGGCAGAAACATGTGCTGAACTCGACCCGAATAGTATCTATTTATTTGATTCGGGAGCTCAGGTATGTCACGTATCCCTCTCATTTGTTTATTAACCTATTGTTATAGGTCTTTTTGCATTTTTATTTTCCTTGGATTAATCTCATTTGGTTTATCTATAGTATCTAGATGGAACAACCGACATTACTCGGACTGTTCATTTTGGAAAACCCACGTCACATGAGAAAGCATGTTATACTGCGGTATGTCGTGTTTGTTGCTTTGTTCACTTGTATACCTGTTTATGAATTGAATGATTTTCTTTTATTCTAAACTTCTTTTTAATGGTGTGTTTGATATATCTCTCTCTTTTTAAGCCATGCACGTTAGCTAGTCAGTTCAAGAAAGAGGAAATGTTACAAGCATGGGTCCGTACTTAAGCAATGAAACAGCAAATACATGCTATTACAGTGTTTTGAAAATCTTATTTTGTCTGTATAGAGAACTTTTCATGGGAAAATGGAGAGAAGACAGAATATATTACGCAATTGGTATTGAATTGAAAAACCCTTTTAGCCCAACCTTTTTGTATTTTCAGAGTGGCATAGATCATTGTCGTGTATCTTCTTACTTGTGTTTAAAATTTTTGGCTTATGGGTATATTGGTTTCATTTTCTGGCAAAAAGTAGCAAACCTTTTCTCACTCATGCTTGTTTTACTCTCAATTTTTTATTTTTTTATTTTTTTTGCATGTTTCTATTGATCTTGTTTCCATCTGTGTCTTTCATTTATGCTTCACTTTTTTATCTTATTTTCTGAGGCTTTTTAAATTATTTTTATTGTATCTCAATTCTAAATCTATAGCCTTTGAGATTTCAATATTGATTGATTCTTAGGTTCTGAAGGGTCATATTGGCTTGGGTAATGCTCGATTTCCCACTGGAACCACTGGTTAGGATTTTCATATCTACACTAATTTTTTAACTGAATTTATCCTTTGAGTTCCCATGAGATATTATTTGAAGAAATCGTAACCGAGATTCTTTTGGTTTTGTTGAAAATATCTTAAAAATTTCCTTTACGCTATGATTCCATGGTTCCAGGTCATATCCTAGATGTTCTTGCACGGCTTCCTTTGTGGAAAAATGGTCTTGATTACAGGCATGGGACCGGCCATGGAATAGGGTCTTTCCTGAATGTTCATGAAGGTAAATCTAGATAACTGTATGATATCCATTTTCTTAACAATATTTGAAGAAAAGCCATATTTTTTACTTGGAATTATATACAATTACTTCATCAGTGATTCAGTTCAATAAGCTTATCACTCAATAGTTTTTGTCCTTATCCTTTTCCATTGTGATTAAAAAATTATTAAGAATGAATGATAGTAGTTTAATTGTACTTGATTTATTCTTTTCTGGCAGGTCCTCATCAAATCAGTTTCAGGCCAGCTGCTCGGAATGTGGCACTACAACCCTCAATGACTGTGACAGATGGTAATCTTGACCCCATTATGAAAGCTCAAACTTCAATTTGTTGTCTGCATGTCTTTAGCAAGTAAAACTATAGTCTCTGGCATGTTGGTAAATTATCGGAACTACAATCTCAAAATCGTGCTCGTTTCTTTTGTGGTGCTTCATTTCAACTTATAATAGCTTTCATGGTTTGATGATATATGTAGACACCTTTCTCTAGGACAATTAGATTTTTATTTGTTTCATTATTCTTCAGCTATGTTGAAGACTTCAAAAGAAAAAAAAAAAGAAAAAAAGAAAAGAAGAAACCAGAAATTTAGCACCTGGAAGATTAAAAGCACACCTAGAGATTATGCCATCATATTCAGCATATTAAACCAGCAAATCCTGTATATAGGATTTTCACACTTGCTTCGTAGTCATATATATAACTATGAAATTCATTTTCCAGAACCTGGTTACTATGAAGATGGGAACTTTGGCATAAGATTGGAGAATGTGCTTGTTGTAAAAGAAGCTGATACAAAATTCAATTTTGGCGGCAAGGGCTACCTGTGTTTCGAGCATATAACATGGGTAAACTTTTCAACTTTTGTCGTTTTGTAGAATGTTTTTATGCACTAATGCATGTGCGATGAACTTGCATCATTCTATTAATGGCCCAGTAGATACTTTTTACAGTGGTGTAAAGATGGAACATGAAATAATTTTTGTGTTAATGTATGGAAAATAAATAAACTTGGTAATAGCCCAAGCTTCCCGTTCTTAGAAGAGAGAGAGAGAGAGAGAGAGAGAGAGAGAGAGAGAGAGAGAGAGCATATTTATGTATCGACAGCCACTAATGATCTGAGATGATAAATATGATTGTCTACTTTGATTGTTCAGGCGCCATATCAGAAGAAGTTAGTGGATGTTAGCCAGCTCGTGCCTGAAGAAATTGAATGGTTGAACAATTACCACTCCAAATGCAGGGAAGTCTTGGCCCCATATTTGAATACCTCAGAGATGGAGTGGCTGAAGAAAGCTACTGAACCTATTGCTTCTTGATCCATGTCAACATTCTGTCTCTACTTCCGAGCATCATTTCAAGATGGTGCTCCCGCTCTTTCTCCATATAGTTATTGTTTCGGCTCTTGGGGGAATTTAAGGGACCTGGAATAAAATTTATGGTTGGCTGTTTATTGGGGCTGGTTGTTTGGAATAAAATTTATGGTTGGCTGTTTACTGGGGCTGGTTGTTTATTGGGTTGAGAAATGAAGTCTGTTGAAATGAAGTTTAAATTTGATTCTCTTTTGTCCCTGTCTCATCCATGCATGTGTGGGCTGTTTGCTTTGCTGGATTTTTGCAAGAACGAAAATAGTAATTCTTTGAAAAAATTCTCAACACGTCGAGAATTAAGTCGTTTTGTGCTTAAAAATATTTTACTTAATTAAGTGTGATAAACAACCTTAGGTTGGGGATAGTTATGCAAAAATTCCTGTATTTGTACATTGAAAAAATCACTATGGGACAATTGGCTACACAAATTATTCGGTTTTGATTGGTTGGACTCTCTTTAATTCAAAATATAACTTAATTTCCATAAATATTGTTAATATAATTAAATAATATTTATTAATTATTTTTACATTCAAATAAAATTTAACTCATTATGCATACATTCATGCATTTTCAACTATCCATCACTTTTAATAACGTATATTACTTTTACATAATCTCAACTTTAATAATTACATTTTAAATATTATTTAAATATAAATTTAAAATTGTACTAAATTATTCCACAATTAACTTTATTCAAAATAAATCACTTTATCCAATAAGATCAACTACAACCCATCGCCACATTTGCGTATTTGAGCTAGAGCTGAGTAAACACTTCTTCAATCCATGGCTAGATATTGGTCCTATGGTAGATGGGTGTATATAATATGTATTAGTAAATGTGTTTATGATGTTAAATTAATTTGCGTTTTTTATTTATTGATGTATTATAATTTTATTTTGTAATATTTTTAATATTAAAATAGTACCATATGAATAAAAATTAACCACAATAAAAGATACATTTTATTAAAATAAAAAGTTTACAACACACATAAATTACAAAATACACAAATAAAAACAACATAATTAGAGTTAAAATAAAAAATTACAACACACATAAATTACAAAATACACAAATAAAAACAACATTATTAAAATTCGGATGAGGAAACTTATTCTTATTATCTTGGGTAACAGAAATTTATATAAGATTAAATCTACATATATATATTAAAATTTATTTGAAATAAAATGAATAAAAAGATATATTTAACGTAGAGTAAAATGTAGCGTGACCGGTTGGAAACGAAACTTGATTTTTGTTTCACTCTACTCTAAAGTAGAGTAAACTTTGCACTAAAGTAGAAATAAGGGCTGGAGATGGCCTAAATCCAATCAAAACAAAAAATATTTTAGATCCAGTCACTCAGACATTTCATTTCAGTTTTCTTAATATCTTGTGTGCGTATCAGGGGCTGAGTCTTTCTATGGCACATGTCCACATGTGCCGACAAGGAGCAATTACTTTTTTTTTTATTTTTCCAAACAACATGATATATTACTCAGAAAGGATCAATATACATCGTTCGTAGGTCAACTAGCCAAATGCGTCACAACATAAAACCACAAAAGACATAACAAAGGATACCACCATAGCAAAGGAAAAGGAAAGGGAGTAGTAGCCTAGCCCGCGGCTAAGACCAAAGCAAAGGCCCCGGGGTTTGGCATCTACTCCCCACTAGACTTAGTCCGAAAAGGATTAAAACTGATTAACCAAAAAAGACTAGCCACTGATCCAACAACGGCCCTAGCCAGCCTTCAAAACCTAAAAAAACCAACAACAAGCAAAAGAAACAAGAAATCGCCTGGGACTTGACATGGCATATTAGGGAAATAACTTCGACCCTCAATCAGGTCTGGGTAGGATTGATCTAGTCCTTGCTTCACCGTCAAGTCCTCGATTAGTGTCTCTTCAAGGAAATTCTTGAATTCATTTGAGATGTGAGCAAAAAGGGTTGACATGCCTAAACTCTTTTGCCTGGTTCGTTTGATAAGATTGATTGGACTATATATATATATATATTTGAATAGATTGTATTGTACAAATAAAATTTTATTTCTATATGTTATTTGTAATTGGTATTTGGATAGGATATTGTCTCATGCATATCTTTTGTTTTTCTTAATAATTCATGAGATATAATATATTTGGTCAACTATGCCCTAGTAAAATAATACAATAATGGATGTCTTGTTTTCATTTTATTCCCTATTTGTTTATAGCTTCATATTTTTTCCCCAAACAACAAATTATTTTCAAAAGAAAAAAAAAAATCATTCTTGATATTCTTCTCTTTCATTCAAATTGTTCACCCCCTATGTTTTTTTTTTTCCAAAATACATGCTTTAATTTTTTATTGTTCATAACATTTTTGTATTCAACATCAACAATTTTCCTTCCATATAAGGCAATTGCAAGTCTCCAACATGCCCTTTCCTCCAAGCCAATTGATTTCGAAAAAGAAAATGATAAATGAGTCTGCGAGGACATAAATGACGGAAAGAACTGTTGTTGAAATGTTTTTCCTACGTCGACTGCCTCCTGATGCTGTTCAAAAAGTGGAAAGACTCATAATCATGGACTGCTTGACACTATTGACGATGGCAGTCATCACTTTCCCGTCATTAATTTGACATATCCTGATGTCAGCAGCATTGTTATTTTCAACCTTTCATTCAGGGCCATCATCGGTCAAGTGGAAGGCTAGACCATAACCCCTCAATACTATTTCCTCATAAAAATCCCACTCCCGATAATTCTGGCCATCGAGAGTGATATTGATAGCAATGGCATAGAGTTGAGACATGAGTCGACAACAAATGTAAAAAAACCTTGGCGATGAGTGACGTGGCTGCGATGGGCAGCGTAAGATCACGAGACGGACGAGTGAAGACTCAAAACATGAACTGAATAGTGTCGAGATCGATTGGAATAAACGAACCCTAACCTCGACAACTGGTTAGTCTGAAAAATGCCAAAACGGACACCCAAAAAACTTCAAAACAGGAAACTGAGAATGGGCAGCAACCTCTCGAAAGTCCAATCCCACGAAAATTCGCCAAAAAATATTTCGGCGAATCACGCAGCCCCACGCGCTGGCGCGTGAGATGCCAGACAAAAACCTTTTCCGGCGTGTGTGACTCACACGCGCGGTATTTTTCGGCGATGTTTGGCCGAAAAGTGAATATTGGGGCGGTGAGATGCCTGGTGTGGGAGGTGAGACTTGAAGGAAAAGAAAATAAAAAAAACCCTATTTCTGTTGGTTTGATACCATGTTACAAACCTAGGGTTTGATGGATGAGTTGATAGATTCTTTTGATATGAAAGGACCATATATATAGAGTTGTTCATGGATCTTATGGGTCTGGCCTTGATATACTTAACAACTGCAAGGAGAGGTTGGTCGAGATTCAGTTGGTTGAGGGTGTTGAGGGAAGAAAAATTAAGATTGGAGGAAACTTGGTGAGCTACTGAAGGAAAAACTCTTTAACTTAATAAGGGAATTTAAGGATGTATTTGCATTTACTCCAGAAGAGTTGACAGGAATTGGGGTAGACATCATCTAGCACAGGTAATTGAACATTGATCTAATGGCCCGACCTGTCAAGCAAAAGAAGAAAATATGTCGCATAACATAAAATATGTAACGTTCGATTTGGATACGCGATTACATAATATGGGTAAGTGTTTCGCATACTTGTTAACTATGTGTACGATTCGAATATGCTAGCGGTAAAATATGCGAAAACTTGTCACATGATCGTAAAATATGCGGCAATCAATTTGAATAAGCGATAACTATATATGCGAAATAAGTTCGCATAACAAAGATTATGCGGTGGATTTTGATATGGAATTAATAGATATGCGAATGTGTTCAGGATAATTGTAAACCATGCGTCCGATTTAGATATGCGTTAGTATATATGCGATAAAATCTCGCATAATTGTTAATTATGCAGTTCATTTGGATGTGCTATTTTTATATCACATATAGTTTTGTGAGTTGTGGGGTGAAAAGAAGTTTTTTTATGAGACGGTGTGTAAAAGAAAGTACATGTATATAATGTGGCGTAAAAGAAATTGTCCCTATATTATTTTACCTTACCTTTTATAGTAGTACTTGTATTTATATACGAAACGACTATATTGCAAGATGTAAAGCCATGGAACACCGAACATGTTATTTCTAGCAATCTCATCAACATTAAAAAGAAAATTTAAGATGTGTAGGAGCAACATAAGTGNACACTTAGCCGGGTATTTCATTTTAATAGACCACAATCTCATAGTGGTAGACGAGTACGGATTGGCGCAGGGTTACATAGTTCTCCTTGGCAACATGGACTAGTGCAACAAAATAAGCATAAAAGGTAGGAGATGTAGACAAAGTAAAATAAAAGAAGTACAACGGTAAGTCAGCATCTTGTCTGAGGTCCCCAACTGCGAAGCAAACAAAATAATCTCCTCACGCGCAAGAGATAAGGCTTTTTTTTAACACATAATTAGGTGGAGCTCCACAAAAAACCACTTATTTTGTGCATGATCTTGACTCTGAAGTGCGAACCCATATTCCGCCATATGCACGTGTAGCAATAAATAAATGGTTCTTATTAATTAGAGATTCATTTTCTTTGGAATAATTAAAAAATGGCTGTCACATTAAAAGCCAAGCGTGGAATGGCACCAAACATGTACAAAAGAGATAATATGTCACATGGGTGAAGGGGCCATGCTATTAAAGATGTTTTCTTTTAGCGAACAATTACAAACGTGACCAATCTTGAATAGGAAGTGTCTCCGCAGATACTAAAGGAGACGATTGCATATAGATTAAACCGATTATAATCTAACTTAAGGGTTATAATTCAACTTGGTGAGTTAAAAGTAAGCTTAAGTTAGTTATTAAATTCAACTTGATTTCAATAGATAAATTCAACTTGGTGACTTAAAATTACGTCAGTAGATAAATAGCGAAGTTTCAATAGTACGCGGATGAGTACTTTTAAATTTCTACTTCTACTGTTATACTTTTAGTTGTCCTTGTACATACAAATCAATGCTTTTACATCTTCTAGTTGGCTTTTACAATTAAAAGTAAAGAAATGCTTTTACAACCTCAGCATCAATCACCCTCTCCAAACTTGATAAAAGTACAAGTTTTATAATGTACCAAGCATCCCCTAACTCTAAGAAACCATAAATGTAACGCTCCCATAGAATAATAATAATGAGAATAATCGTAATAGTAATAATGATCATTTTTACGATCTCTCCCAAGGATAAACTATTCCAAATTTTTCAAACTAGTGGAAGCTGGTGTATACATGTCAATGTGTTGCAAATGCAACATAGATTACAACATACAAACTCTGGCCATTTCAACAACGAGAAACCAACAACATAAAGTACTTACTAATCCGAGTTTTCCAATTTTAATTCTCTTTATACACGTCCTCAAGATTGTATAAAATACACTCCAAAGAATGAAAATGAACCAGAACAGCGCAAGAAACTACAAGTTTACAACAAGTTTTTCAGCCACTATAGCCCCTTCCAAACCCAATACACAACAACAGATCCGATTCCCACCCAAAGCCCACGATAATATAACCTTCCACACATCAGCAGAACCAAGTCCATAAATGCTTAATCAATAAATTCATAACCAAACATGATTCTTCCATGTTCAGTAAACCACAGATAAAATCCATCCCCGATTAAACGCTAAGCACAAGTTTTTCCAGTCCCAAGCGTAAGCTCCAAATCATCCACCCCGAATTCGGTTATCTTCTCTCCCTCCCACGCCTTCACCGCGCAACTCTCGAACTCAAACTCGGGCCCACAAGCCCTCTTGGCCGCCGGGCCCCACCCAAACCCATCAACTCCATTTGTGGGCTTCACGAGATTGTAAGTCGGCGAGGCCGGGCAGCCCGGAGATGGCGGGCCCGACCGGAAACTGACCCAACGGGCCGAATTTGTGGCCGGAAAATCGGTCTCGTCGCATTCCGGGATGGGGACTGGCCGGAAAAAGCGCCGGCGGCGAGAAGGGCTGGACGGGCATGAAATGGGCTCGTTCGAAATGGGCTCCCAATGGGACTTGGGCTTCGAGTTTCTAGTTGGGGAGGAGAGAGGTGGAGTCACGGGGGCACTATTGGAAATTCGCAGGGGAGGGAGAGAAGCTAGGTTGTGGAGGAAAGGGAGAATGTAGGATGTGGGCCCGTCACCGCGTGTTGGGCTTGGGAAAGAAGAGGATGTTGGGCTGGCAGGGTAGGATGGGGCTGGGCTTGGAAAGGCCGAGGAGTTTGGGCTCGGTTGGATTGAGGAACAGAGGCTGATGTTTCTTAATGGTGGTCCAGAATCGGGTGGCGGTGGCTTACAACCCTGCCAGAGTTAAAATTAAATTGTGATGGAAGTCA